GCACAGTTATTGTGAAGATAACCATAACCAATAATTATTCAAAACTGCCAAGCTCTTCTAACAATTATTTGAGCCTTTTTTCAACATTCTATGATTTTCTCACAACAGATGTCACTCTCTCAACCAATTTTTATTTTTGATTCCTCTTTATGTGGCAAGAACCAGTCACAGTCACATTTTGAATGGGGAATTTGAGACTGCCTGCCTTCATTGAGGATTTTTCATGAAAATCACAAAACGTTCCTTAAATAAGTTTTTTATATTGGAATTGGTGAGTTTGTTATAATGAGATTTTTACAACATGTACTTTGAAACTTTGAAATAAGTTTGTTCTACTGAAAAATTTTGTTGTGACGGTATTTGTTGGAAGAAGATTTGACTGGATATAAACTACCCAGAAAAAAGTTTAATCTCAGAAATCTTCTTTTTCATGAACAATCTTAGATTTTTTTCCTTCATATTTCCAAACAGCAGTTGTTGACTTGTCATTTATCCTGAACCAACTTCAATCAGACTCTTTGGGAAAATATCGTCATTCATCTTTCGTTATTCTTGCTTATTAAGGAAATGGGGTCTTTTTTCGAACGTAAGGAATAGTAGACGAGACTGAGGATTTAACGATCGTTATCGTACAGTTCTAATGGGTGCTTCCAGCGTTGCTCTAATGGTGATATAAGTGGCCGACAGGGATCCAATCTTTAGTACGACGGATATTTTAGACTTATTATTAGGGTCTTTAGGACCTAAATATTACGCTATTTTTCCGAAGAACGACGGTACTGTGTGGAACTGAAAAGTTGTGTAAGAAAATATATAAAAAGACCTTTTTGCTTACGCACATTGGTTTATAAAAAAAAAATAAAAAAGAAGTTGCCAAGCGCATCCAAACTCAAATCTCCCTGACATTGGATGCAGAAAGGAACACGTTTGTTCAGAATTATGATTCGGGAATGTTAATCCGGTTGCCTTTGTGTGAAGCTGGTATACTGCTCACAAAAAATGAAGAATTTTTTTATATATACTGAGATATGCTGCCTTTTTTACTGGGATTAATTTATGGACGGAGTCAGCATAAAAAAATATGAAGATTATTTCATAATGGGAGTTTTCAACCTTTATTTACCCCAATTTACCACTTGGAATATTCAGATAGGTTTTTTTTAATTCAAAAGTGAGATTTACCTTTGACTTGAACCAAATTTGAGATATTATTTCAATAAAAAAATTTAAGGTGTGTTTTGTGAAAGTTTTAAATGAAATTATTGAAAAAATTCCTAAAAAAAAGTTCCTTTGAAAGGTTAACATAAGGGATTTTTCTTTCTAAAAAACATAATAAAAGATATACTTTGTGTGAAATGTTGGATAGATGTCACTGAAATTGATCAAAAACTCTGTAATCATAACCTATACTTGATTAACTTGAATTCAATATTTTTTCATGTATGATTGTGGTGACATCTGTCCAAAGTTGAAGAGAATATTGGATTCATTAGTTGTTGAAAATTTAAAAATACCTGAGGTTTCTACAATGTGATTTTCTCTTCAGCACTTTTCTGCATCAAGAAATATTCTGGGTGAGAGATGGGATACATTTTCAGATAGATGTCACTGAAATTGATCAACAGACTCTTTGTCATAACCTAAAGTTAATTAACTTGAATATAATAATGTTTGGTTTATGATTGAGGTGACATCTGTCAAAAGTTGTGGAGGATATTTGACTTACTAATTGGCTGTTAAACATCCAAGAATACCTGAGGTTTATGTATTGTGATTTTTTGTGTGCCACCAATGCTCTTTTCAGCACTTTTCTTCACCAATAAGAACTATTCTGGATAAGAGATGGGATGCATTTTCAGATAGATGTCACTGAAACTGACCAACCAACTCTTCAGCATAACCTAAAGTTGTATTCAATAATGTTTGATTCATGTTTGAGGAGACATCTATCCAAAGCTGACACAAATATTGGACTTGATGGTTTTTGAACATCCAAAGATACCTTAGGTTTCTGTGTTGTGATTTTCTTTTTTTTTTAGCATCAGTTCAGCATTCTGTCAACTATAAATTCTTCGTTAATTTACGAGTTTCACAATGATAAATGTTAAAGGACGTTAAGAAGGTACAAAGGGTCTTTTTTTCCGAACAAACAGATCGAGTTTTGAAGGGTTTTGGATTTAACAACGACGAGCTTTGAAATTTGACTTGAAGAGGTGTGACTGCAATGCCCTTGTCAAAAATTTGTTTCACCAGGAAGAATTATTGTGGTTGAAAGATGGGTTAACTTTTTCCTGATGAGGAAACCTTGAGCTGTTGTCACACCCCAATTTGCTGTATGAGCTGAAAGAAGCAATTCCCAAGAAGAGCCAAGAATGATAGGTTTGTTTAACTACAGGTTGATGTAATCTGGTGGAACCCATCCCTGTTTCCCTGTAGCCAGGCATGATGATGCATTTGGATCCTCTTTATATGGTGGGGGCGGGTAGAAAAACAGGCTGGTTGTGAACCTGCCTGTAACTTGAAATTTATCACATTTTCCATTTTGATACCCTTTCAAAATAGTGTGAAAAATGCTAAAGTTGCTGTAAAATACATTTAAAAAATGAGTTGTATGTGTTTAGTGCATGATGCCTTAATGTCTGACTATTGGTCAGATAAGACTTTTTTATTTAATTCTTCTTGCTATTAACATTTAATCAAAATACAGAACAGAATATTAATAATTTTCCAAATTGCAAAGACTTTAATACCGTTATGAGAATCTTACTTTAAGATGACGAGATAAGAACAATCTAAAACTTTTACGTGTCAGACTTAAAATCACTGTACACAATCATATTATCTAGGGACTTGAAATTGTTCGTTAAACAAACTTCAAGTATTAATCTCTCCTTCTTGGTGTATGAAGCTCCAGCTTAAAGTTATATTGTAATTCCAATTCCTTTAGCCCCAATATATATTTTTGTGGGTGGTGATTTTTTTCTTATTTTGACCTTCTGTTTTGAACAAATATTTTCTCATCCTCTTATGAAGCATGGAATTCCATTTTCAAGGTTTCAATAATTTCCTTATACAGGTGAACCTCTCGTGAATCAAATTTCTAGGGACTAGGAAAAAAAATTTGACTTAGGGAAGTTTTGACTTAGGGAGGTTTTGAGTTCTTGAGGAAAGGAAACAAATAAAAAACGATGTTCCTTTTACCCTTACACCTACTCCTGTAAGACCCGGATTTGAACGGAGAATTACGGAGAATTTCTCAAATGTCGAATGACTTGAACACCCGTCCCCAAGTAAACAAGTTAATCAGGTTCACTTGATTTCAAAATGCATAAACAATTTTGTTTTGTTGATTTTCTCAATCATATTTCAAGGAAATAATGACCAAAAGGTCTCAGAAAATTCGACTAACAGAGGTTTGAGAGAAAACTACTTTGACTTAGGGAGGTTTTTAATACATTGTTTCTATGGGAATCCAGACAGGGACTTGAAAAAATTTCAGTTAGGGAGGTATTCAACTATGGGGAGGTTCAACTTAGCAACGTTCACCTGTATTCAGTATACTGATATTTAAAACCTCCCTTGTTATTCAAATATTATTCTCTCCCTTTTAGTGCATGTAATACTCCAGTCTTATGGATCTTCATAAGTTCAATCCCCTTCTTTTAATGCATATGCTCATGAATGTGCTCATACTTTATTTTGACCACCCTTGTTTTTCTTCTCAAAGTAGCAGGATCCTGTCATTCACTGTTTTCATTGGAATATCCAAGAAAGTGGGAGAAAATGTCATCAAATGTCTGCCTATGGACGCTGTTCAACCCCTGGGAGCATGTGTCCTTGTGATTTTTGCTACAAGGAAAATGGGAATGTGGATGAGGACATTCTGAGCCTAAATTTGCTTCTGAATGAGTTTACAGCTTACTGAACTTGTGGGCAGGGGTTCATTTGTTCAATTAGTCCATCACTTGATTTCAAAATGCATAAAATAATTTGTTTTGTTGATTTTCTCAATCATATTTCAAGGAAATAATGACCAAAAGGCCTCAGAAAATTCGAATAACATAGGTTTGAGAGAAAACTACTTTGACTTAGGGAGGTTTTTAATACATTGTTTCTATGGGAATCCAGACAGGGACTTGAAAAAAAATTTGAGTTAGGGAGGTATTTGACTTAGGGAGGTTCAACTTAGGAAGGTTCACCTGTATTCAGTATACTGATATTTACAACCTCCCTTGTTATTCAAATATTATTCTCTCCCTTTTAGTGCATGTAATACTCCAGTCTTATGGATCTTCATAAGTTCAATTCCCTTCTTTTAATGCATATGCTCATGAATGTGCTCATACTTTATTTTGACCACCCTTGTTTAAGAAGAGTTTCATCGTCCTAGGACAGTAAGTGACAAAAGTAACCTTATAGGTTCTTTCACCCTCTTTTACAGTAGTTTACAGACGGATACCTGCGACAAGTTGGGGACCCTCGTACACAGGAACACACACCGGCTCCCATCCGGAATGAAACAGCGCGCGCCCAACCCTGAGCCCAACCTTCACACCCCAGCCAACAATGATTCGTTGCTTCCTGCCTTTTGACGTGTCTTTTTTTTCCTCTTCTTCTCCTGTTCAATGTTTTATACCCGTGGCAAACAGGGAAACAAAGGAATATCTATATAAATACTCCATACGAAATACTGTACTGAAATATGGTGAAGTGAGCGGAAAGTGGATATAAAATACTGTAGGCGGTGGCGAATGCGAGAGAATTACGCGCGTGAGTGGAAGAATACACGAGTACTACATACAAACTCCATACGAAATACTGTACTGTACTGAAATATGGTGAAGTGAGCGGAAAGTGGATATAAAATACTGTAGGCGGTGGCGAATGCGAGAGAATTACGCGCGTGAGTGGAAGAATACACGAGTACTACATACAAGGAATAGAAGGGAGACACACAGGAGGAAGATTTGGGGGGGGTGAAGTGAAATTGTGGAATGAGGATGAATGGAAGCGAAACTGCGCCGGGTTCCATCAAGATCACGGTCGTGGGGGATGGCAACACTGGCAAGACCTGCATGTTGGTGGCCTTCGCGGACAAGAAAAACCTCAGAAGCTGTCGTATCATGAAACCCCGACGTAAGTTGGGGGTTTTTTATATTTAAAAAAGCGTCGCAAGTTGAAACCGACGTAACATGGGCCCGTCGTAAGTCGGGGGCCCACTGTACAAGGAATAGAAGGGAGACACACAGGAGGAAGATTTCCCCCCCACTTCACTTTAACACCTTACTCCTACTTACCTTCGCTTTGACGCGGCCCAAGGTAGTTCTAGTGCCAGCACCCCCTACCGTTGTGACCGTTCTGGACGTACAACCACCGGAAGCGCCTGTACGAGTTTCCTGAGGAACACGTTCCTACTGTGTGAGTCCCTTTTTTTGTTGACGTTTCCGAATACTGTACAGTTGAGACTCACACATGCGGACACCTCGACATGCGGACAATTCGACATAGGGACACTTATTTTCCCATTTAAAAACATATATTAAAAAAGGCCCAAAATGAGGACACTGACTCAACACACGGGCATTTTGTGATAAAATTGCATTATGTAAAGTCCGGTTTAATGGCCTTTGTGTAGAAAGGTTGGGATTTTAACTACATTTTTTTTTCAAGAACCCGTAAAGAGAGTGGGTAAATGGTAGGTAAATCGATTTAAATTTTTTTAATGGAGCAGCATAGAGGGATTCCTTCTCTCTTTTTCACTTGAATGTTATTTTTAAAGAGAATGCCAACATTTCTACGTACTGTACAGAGGTATCAGTATTCAGTTCCCCAAATGCCCATATTGTGTTGAAATATATTGATTGGAATCAGTTTAAATTGGGACAACATTTTTATTTTCATGGAATTATGGAATTAAGTATTTTGTTCATAAAACACCAATTAATTATTATATTATTTAAGTATAAGGGAAAATTTGACTCGACTTGGGGACATTTTGACTTTAAAAAACTCTTGATGCACCAATTATGTCTGCATCTTGGGGTCTCACTATTATGTATTTCTGTATCCAAATATTTTAGACACTGTAAGTTATCATCTTACACTTGGTAGCAGAGGAAACAAATTCACTATAATTTTGTTACAGTGAAACAAAACATTTGGGACTTGTAAAATGGCTTCGTTTTAGGCAAAAATTGTTGAAACGAAATTAAAACGAATTCAATTGTCAAAAGAACTTTAAAAGAATTCAATCGTTGGAATAAATGAAAACGAATTGCTATAAATCCTTAAATTGAAATTAAAGCGAATTAAATCTTTTAAACAAATTAAATCTTTAAAACAAAAGTAACACAAATCCAGTTTTAAAAACAAATTAAATTTTCAAAACGGAATTAATGTATAACGAATTAAATTGTTAAAATATAATTAAACGAATTAAATCGTAAAAATGAAATAGAAAAAAATAACATTGTGGCTATTGAACAGGGTCTGAAAAACAAGTTCGTTTTACGCATGAATTCGTTATAGAAAGACTTGTGGTAACAGGATTCTACTTTACTAAAGTTGAATCTCGTTACAACGAACTTTCAGAGACTATAGCCTGAAAACAAAAAAATCCTGTATAGAACCCTTTTTTGGGTCGAATTCAGAGGAGTAAGAATTTGACTAACCATTTTTAAAATTATCCCATTCAACAGAATTATTCGAACCATTGAATTTTCTTAATTTTTCGAAAGTAAGGCCTGAGCTTAAAAATCTGTCAACATGCTGCGTTCTTTTAAAATCAATTTCATTCAAAAACATGCAACTGATTTGAAGTTTTATGTACGATAAGATCAGATGCTTATTGAAGGACATTTTGACTTTAAAAAACTCTTGATGCACCAATTATGTCTGCATCTTGGGGTCTCACTATTATGTATTTCTGTATCCAAATATTTTAGACACTGTAAGTTATCATCTTACACTTGGTAGCAGATGAAATAAATTCTTCATAATCTTGTTACAGTAAAAGAAAACGTTTGGGACTTGTAAAATGGCTTCGTTTTAAGCAAAAATTGTTGAAACGAAATTAAAACGAATTCAATTGTCAAAAGAACTTTAAAAGAATTCAATCGTTATAATAAATTAAAACGAATTGCTATAAATCCTTAAATTTAATTTAAAGCGAATTAAATTTTTAAAACGAAATTAACGCGAATTAAATCTTCTAAACAAATTAAATCTTTAAAACAAAAGTAACACGAATCCAATCTTTGAAACAAAAGTAACACGAATCCAATCTTTAAAACAAAAGTAACACGAATCCAATCTTTAAAACAAATTAAATTTTCAAAACGAAATTACTGTATGCCAAATTAAATGGTTAAAATATAATTAAACGAATTAAATCGTAAAAATGAAATAGAAAAAAATAACATTGTGGCTATTGAACAGGGTCTGAAAAACAAGTTCGTTTTACGCATAAATTCGTTATAGATCGTGGTTACAGGATTCTACTGTACGAAAGTTGAATCTCGTTACAACGAACTTTCAGAGACGACTATAGCCTGCAAACAAAAAAATCCTGTAAAGAACCCTTTTTTTTAGATCGAATTCAGAGGAGTAAGAATTTGACTCACCATTTTCAAAAGTATCCCATTCAACAGAATTATTCGAACCATTGAATTTTCTTAATTTTTCGAAAGTAAGGCCTGAGCTTAAAAATCTGTCAACATGCTGCGTTCTTTTAAAATCAATTTCATTCAAAAACATGCAACTGATTTGAAGTTTTATGTACGATAAGATCAGATGCTTATTGACGATGGGGAACTCGAGAAACCGCTGGAATTAATCAATAATTGTGGAATTTCATAAGACTACAGTAATTGATTAATTAATTAATTAATTGCCGAGACGAGACAAAAAAAAACAAAGCAATGAAGTCTTGATTTTCTCGTCGTCTGTTTCAACGATTTCACGTGACCCTGAAGTTCTATGCTTGGAAATCATGTCATAAATTTCCACCCCCCCCCCTGCTGTTATTGATCAAATGCAATTCATTTTTTTGAAATGTTTTGGTTAAAAATGTGTAATTGTTTTCCTTTTGTTGTTTTTGTTGTTGCAGGTTTGACAACTTCAATGCAGATGTTGTAGTGGATGACACCAAGCACAACATCACTCTTTGGGACACAGCTGGCCAAGAGGATTATGAACGTCTTCGACCCCTTTCTTATCCCCACGTAAGCACATCATTGACCCCCCCCCCCCCACAAACTGAGCACCATGCAAATGACTGCCTCTCTTAATTACAGTTGAACCCGGTTGAACCACCCCCCGATTAACCACCACCCTTGCTTCCCACCATTTTTTCCTCTCAAACAAATCTTCTCAAGCTTGAAGGGATGGGAAAACCCGGTTTATCCGCCAATGTTTTTTTTTTGCCAAAAAAAACAGGATCTTGGCACTGTTTTTTACCCTGATAAATCGCCAATTTTTGGCTCCTCTCTTTGAAGCTTTATATTTCTGGTAATATTTTTTAAAATTATTTGTTTTCTCAATTTAAAGATGCAAAGAATGAGAGATTCATGTCCCCACAAAAAAAGAATGAATAGTATCTTCACCAAAAGCAGGATGGGGAGGGATAGAGGTTGAAACATTAAAGAAAATAATCAAATATACTTATTCATTAAAGACTGTGCCAACCCCTTCCTCGTTAAAGTGCCAACTCTGTTAAACTGCCAAAATTCTGCTCCACAAACGTTGGCAGTTTAACAGGGTTTGATTGTACAGTCAAACCTCTGTAAGTCAAATTCCAAGGGACCTGCAAAAAAAATCAACTTAGGGAGGTTTCAACTTAGAGAGGTTTTGAATTTTATAGGTTGGAACTGCAGCACAAAGCCTTTCTTTTCTGGGAAACTCACAAAAAATGTAAACAGTGATATTCTGGGGCTTAAATAGCTTCTTAAATGACTTGAAAGGCTGCTGAACTTGGAGGCAGGGGTTTGTTTGCCCAATCAAGTCTTTCACTTCATTTAAAACACATAGATTCCTGTTTTTATTGCTTTTTTTCTTTATTTTTTCCAAGAAATTAATGGCCAACAGGCCACAGAAATTTTGACTTATGGAGGTTTAAGGTGAAAAGCTTTTGACTTGAGGAGGTTTTTTCTCTATTGTTTCTATAAGGGGATTCAGATGAGGACCTGAAAAAATTTGACTTAAAGAGGTTCAAGTTATTGAGGTTCACCTACACACTGGGTTTAATATGCAGTCATTTTTTTTTTTACTAAGAATTTTGACCTGGAAGTTTATCAGGTTCCAAAGGATATCTGTTGTAACCAAAAATGTTTCATTTGGGAAGTAGATGCAAATTTTAAAAAATTCTTATGCAAGGAAAAACTTTCTAAAAGCAACTTTTTGGAATCCTAACAGTTGTTGAAAAAATTTATGAAATCTGGATTTTTCTGATATCAGAGAATTCCAAGTGTTTATTTGACTTTTTTGTGGATGCATCACTATACTCACCAAATAAAATAAAAATTTCACATCATTAAGCTGTAAAAAAAATTTGAAACAAGAATAGCATTCCATGTGGTAGAAATTCCTCTAGAAGCAAACTTTCTTATTAAAGTGATGTGTAATCTTCTCTTGTATGATCAATATTTTTATGCCCCAGGAAGCAAGGAATATGAGAATCAAAGCTAGACAAAATAGTTTCCGTCCTCCTGTTGAAAACTCGTGTTGACTCTTATAGACTAGTAACTTCCCTTTTTTACCTTTTTGGTAGGTTTGTATTAATATCAACACTATTTATAGAATTTTCCTTATAGGAAAGTTTTTATTGCATTATGTTTAAAGATTTTCTGCTGGAAGTTTTTTTTCATGATGAATATTGTATTTTTGAAGAGCATTTTTCCCTTCTTGATATAAAAAAAAAAGAAGATTAAACGAAATAGTTTTCCTTTAGAGAAACAAAGCTAACCTTTCAGCTGAGTGAAGTGCATAATTCAAGTCACTAATTAATAATTTATCTTTCAATTCATGGTTTTTGTTGGGCATAGGGATGGAAATCAATTTCTCTGTACTATGCCTTTGCTCTACAAAAAATATGGGCTCGCACATAAATTCAGAATTTCAATCATGGCAAAGGTTTCCATGTGTGGAATTCATCAAAAAATGCTTACAAATTTTCCTTGGTTTCATCTGATATGAATTGTGATTGTAATTGCATTTTTTGTTAACCAATGAAGACAGTTTGCTATTTTGAGCTGACATTTCTCAGTTTTCTGTCAGAATTTCTGGGATAATTACTAGAAAATCCATTTAAACTTTGAAATGAATCTTAATTTGAAGCCATTTTTGTGACAATTGAAAATAAATTCAATTGCTTTTTTTTCAGACAAAGGTGTTCCTCCTATGCTTTGCAGTCAATTCACGTGCTTCCTTCGAAAACATTGTGCACAAATGGGCGCCTGAGCTGAAGCATCACTGCAAAGATGCGAAAATCGTGCTTGTTGGTGAGTGCAGAAGTAACAACCACTCTTTGGCAACTCTTTTTTTGCGTTACCGTTAAAAGCGACACCTATGCGAAATTCAGAAAACGCGGAATTGGAGATAGTCGCGCTTGGAGTAGGTGTCAGTGCAACGTCTCCGGGGCATGAAGGAAGAATCAAAGTTCAATTCAAGTCTGCGTTTGTTGATGTTATCTCCGTAAATAAGAACGAATGATTCAGTTTACAAACTTCGTTAGAAATTAAGTACAGACGATTGCTTGCAATTACTGTATTCGAGGACAAGGCAAACTCCTGTGAGAACCCGATGATCGTTGTGATCGATCAGTTTAATTGGTCTTGGCTTGATCATGCTGCTTTTTGTAATAGTTCCAGTGTCTCGGATTTATTCTTCTTCTGAAGAATAAATTCAAGATAGTTTCTGTATCTTGACGACAGTATTTTTTTTTGCTCGTTCACTTGACCTGTCAAAAGTTTGATGTCATCCTTCCCTTGTTGATCCAAATGATAACCGTGAAAGAGATTATGCAGCTTTTTTTAGTCATAACGATTGGAATACGAAACAACCGACATTCATTAATTGCGTTAATCTAATTAAATCATTAAATAAATAAATCATTATGTATCTAAGCAAAAATGGGAAGCAGGATATGAGTTCAATAGTTTTTTTTTCTCTTTTGTCACTCTTCAAATTCATGAAGCAGGTTCTTCCCTGGGTATGGGATTTTTATTTTCACATTTTCCTTGAGATCCGCTTGTAACTCAAACCTCTGTGACTCAAATTTGTTCCTGGTCCCTTGGGAGATTTAACTTCATCACTAAAATCAAGCAAGGTAAAAGATAAAAAAAACTTGTGTGTGGTATTTCTGCTCTTCTTCTTGTCCTGAGAATTTGCGAAATTAAAGAAGTAATCAGCAATAACTGATTTTCCCATAAAAAATTAATACAAAAGGCTCAACATGCTGAGGACACTGACTTGAAAAAGGGGCATTTTGTGTCACAATTTCAAATACATTTCATGCCAAATTACAAGAAACAGATATTTCCAACCCTGAAAATGATGTGAGAAAAGTTCTTGGGCATTTCTCTCGCCAATTTACCATCCATGTAGCTAATTTAAGAAAATTACCTCCAGCATAGAGGGACTTCCTTCCCTCTGTTTCATTTGAATTTTATTTTTTTACAGATAATGCCAACATTTCTATGTACTGTACATAGTTATCAGTATTCAATTCCCCAAATGTCCATATTGTGTTGAAATACGATGATTGAATCAGTTGAAATTGGTAGACAATTCTTATTTTTATGGAATTTTTACATAAAACACAAATTAAAATTTATATAATGTAAGTCTAAGGGAAAATGAGACTCAACTTGCGGACATTTTGACTTGAGGACTCACGTGATGCACCAATTATGTCTGCATTTTGGGGTCCCACTGTGTCTATATATATATACAGTAAGTCTAACCCTAAAATTGATGTAAGAGAATTTCTTTGGCATTTCTTTCACCAATTTACCATCCATTTTGCTGATTTAAAAAATTACCTCCAGCTTAAAGGGACTTTCTTTGCTCTTTTTCACTTGAATTTTTTTTAAAAGAGAGAATGCCAACATTTCTATGTACTGTACAGAGGTATCAGTATTAAATTCCCCAAATGCCCATATTGTGTTGAAATGTATATTGATTGGAATCAGTTTAAATTGGAGACAATTTTTCTTCATGGAATTATGGTGAGTATTTTGACCATAAAGCACCGATTAAAAATTATATAATGTAAGTCTAAGAGAAAATGAGACTTGCCTTGGGGACATTTTGACTTGGGGACACTTTTGATTTACCAATTACATCCGCATCTTGGGGTCTCACTGTATATATTTACATAGAGAGGTATATGTACAGTATATACATTATATAAATTTTTTCTGTGTGTTTGCATGTACCATATTGCAGCGACCAAAACGGACTTGCGGCCAACGGACAATAACTCCGCTGCGGATCCCACCGAGTTCGTGTCGTCCCGAGAAGGCAAGAAGCTCAAGAGTCGGATCCACGCTGCTCGTTACGTGGAGTGTTCAGCAAAGACCCGACACGGGCTCCAGGAGGTGTTTCAGGAAGCCGTCCGAAGTCTGGGCGATCATCACGGGGCTGGGCACGGGAAGCCCCTGGCCCGACTCTGCGCCATCCTCTGAATCATGATGACCCCCCTTCGAATGATCCACAACGTCCCCCTTTTTTCATTCGCGCGTCATGTGGCTAATATTTTATTTTTTGTTTGCGTTTTAGCTCCTCCTTGTATTTTATCATGTTTCGTCTGTACCATTGCTGTATTTACTTGAGTACCAGCGCAAGAATGATTTTTATTTTTAACATTGAAAAAAAAACTGGAAAAGGAGAGAAAGAGAGAAAAAACAGGGTGCAAGTGATCAGACAGAACCGGTACAAAGTTTCAAGACATTAATTCATCAGGTTTGCGTCATAGGTGAGCCAATTTTAGGGAAGATAGATTTATTATTGAAAATGATTAAAGCAGCTTCTGCATGGCACATGTTAACAGTGAGTGAGTCTCCATGTTCCAAAAGATACTTGCCAAAAAAAATTACAGTTTCAATTTTGTAGGATGAGGCATGAATTAATGACTTGCATGAAAATTGTTTCTCATAACCAAACATTTTGGTCCAAAGAAATTGCTCAATTGTTGAGGTTGAATTTTAGAATTCTTGAAGAAATTGAGTAAGATGGAAAAGTAAGTGTATAGTTTTTTGTTCTTCTTCACTCAAAAGTTTGTGAAATTTAAAAAAATTGTGACAGCTTAAGCTTGTCAAGATTACTTTCAATTTCGCACTGCTGCCTGAATCTACATATAATTCACGATTTCATGGCGAGTTCCCTGGTTACAAAATACACAAACCAAGGAAAATTGCTGGGTGAAATTTTGTAAAAGTCTTATTCCATGAAAAAACGTGTCTTCAAAAAATGTTGTCCAAGTTTTGAGCTTAAACTTGAGAATTTCTAAAGAAATTGAGTAAGATGAAAAAGAAGTGAATGTAGCTACAGTACTTCCCCTTCTTGTTTTTATGCTTGTGAATTTGAAGTATTCAATGGTGAAAACTTGTCAAGTTTTTAGTTTCAATTTCACACTATTCATTATCTAAGTCATAATTTCATGGTGAAAAATAGGAAAAATGCAGCTTCTGAGGTTTATCATGTCTGTCCTGTGAATGTCCAGGAGCAATTGAATAATTAACAATTCAACCTGAAGGAAAATTGCATTTTGCATTGCAAAAAATGTTGCACAACAAAACCCATTCAGGAATGAAATAGTTTTGTTATATGGAGATCCACTGTATAAGAAACTAGATAAATGAAAGATTGATAAAATTCTGATCCAATTCAGGTCCAACAGCAATCTTATATGTAGTCAAGGCTTGAAATAATGAAAAATTTCCAAGAAACTCAAAATTTGAGGTCTCATTTTAATCAGGAATATATATTTCTCTAAATTTAATTCTTAAAAATCAAGATGCGCATCATATTTTTTTTAGCATGCATGGTACTTGAGTAAATATGGTATTTTATGAGTGAGGTTTCTTGTGCGAAACTTATATTTATTAATTGCTGATCAGACAGTGGTTAAACTGCGAAATTGTGTCTCGCTTAATGGACTTGGTCTCTATATATTTTGGTGAAGAGTCCATTATATCCAAGAAATGATGATTAGTTTTCGATTTTAGTCCGCATTTTCTGTTCAACTTATCCTTCAATGCCAAATTTCAGCGCTTAAAAAATTGTTTGCTGCCTGCAGCTTCTCCCCACTTGAAATAGATTTATAAATTGAGGCTGTGGCCTATTTTTCGTGTGCGGCCTATATGACCATATTTTGAGGAAAAAAATTTTCCGTCTGTTGTCGAAAATTTTAGATATTGAATTAGCTTTTTGTTGCTCTCAATTTTTTCGAAAAAATGCGTGCTTCTCCATAAAATGGAGGCTGAAAATGTGGGTTCTTTTTCAAAAGAAAAAATTGCAAAACTTTGTGTTCAAGTTGTTTCCAGCATTCCGCGAGAGAGTTACTGAGGAAAGTTAACCAAGTACAGTGTTTTCATTTATGTTCACTGCTAGTTTAGTGTTGTAAGATTTTTTTTTTGGGAAATTTCATGCCATGTTCAGTTTGTGAAAGTCTGTGGAGGTGTTACTTTTTTCTAGTTTGCTACACTATTTTATGTGTTCTCTGGATTCCTCTTGATGCGATTCCTTTTCGAATTTTTCTACATAAAAAAATTGAGCTTGCCATTGAAAAATGATCAACTTATATGATTTAGATCTTTGGTGATGTTATGAAATTGACAACTTTTTTCTTGAGATTTTAAAAAATAGAAGAGTAGGAAGATTGTTTCAGGAAAACGGGAAAATTTTCAAATTTCGCACAAGTAAAAATATTTTGCTCTCCAGAAACAATTATACCAATTGAAATTTATTTTATTGAGTTATGGCAGACTTCTAAAAAAAAATTTCAATGCGTTAAAATTTTCACGTCGAAGAAAATTTGTTTCCGTTTCTTCCGCGATACTTGAAAACATTCCGAAGTGTATATATACTGTATTTCGAGAATTTTTGCATTTCTCAAAAATTCTTCATTGAAATTGTCGATGTCAATATTTTTCTATTCAAGTTCCTTAAAAAAAAAAAATCATGAAAGCGTCTGACAATCGCGGAAGAGGATGAAAACCCGTGGGGTTAATGATGAGGAAAGGGTTCCCATCATGTGCCAACCTTTTTTTTTTCTAGAAAAAATCATTGTCATGGAAGTTCAATCAATGTTTCTATTTTTAAATTGAATGTCATTTATTTATTTTTGTGTGTGTCTCGGATGCACTTTTATTTTTCGGCTTCGCGCAATCGCCCGCTCGAAGGCATGGCTGTGATATGCGCTTCCCCCCTTTTGTTTCTCATTTCCCGTCGCATTTCATTATTGAGATTGTAAATTTTTTTCCGGGGCTGGATATGGCATGCGATAATTGAACTATCTTTAAAAAAAAAAAGGGGAATATGGAATGTATCCAGAATGACTTTCGTCAGCTCTTGAATGCGCAATACAAGCAATTATTTCAAAAGCATTTATGTTTATTTGTTGGAAAATATTGCAACAATAAGGAAGTGAAGATGGAATCGTTATCCACTGCTTCTATTTGCAACATACCATATTTACTCGAGTACCACACGCACCTTTTTTCCCAAATTTCAGAAGAAAAAAAGGGGTACGCGTCACAAGCGGGTACAAAATTTTCAAGAAGTTTTAGGAAGTTATGTTTGCATTACACTTAATTATAATAAAGAAATTTGGAACAAATATCAAGAGAAAGTATTTTTGTATTGAAAAAGTTGAAAATTCATCGATTTTTGTTCAATTCACGCCTAAAGTCAAATTTTTTGTTTTTATTTTTGAAATTTTATGGTTTTAGGTTCACTAAAAATTGGGGTGCGCGTCTTACTTGGGGATAAGATTTTTGCAAAATTTTCAAGTGAAAAACCCCTGTGCGCGCCTTACTTGAGGGCGGGTGGTACTTGAGTAAATATGGTATATATTGTCACAACATCACAACGTTTCTAATGGAACTGAAATGACTGATGGGATATTTTTACAGCAAATGTAGCCAAAATGATGAATATTCATCAGCATAAATGTGCAAAACTCAGAATGCTTCCTTCCTTGGACATCCAGAACTCACATTTTTTTGGAGGCCTTTTTGGCAAATATTTTATTGACACAAGAAAGAGAAAAGCAATAAAAATGTAACTTGATGCGTTTTGAAAGGGACTGAAAGACTAATTGGGCAAATGAACCTGTGACTCCAAGTCCAGCATCCTCTCAACTCATTTACAAAAACATTTCAGGCCTATGGAAAGAATATAATCTATTACAATTTTCTGTATTTATTCTTTCTTCCCCTCATCAAAAATGCCTGTTTTCCCCAACTGGAAACATGACTTAAAAAGTCAAATTTTTGCTTGCCCTTGAATTTTAACATCAGGAAGTTCAATTTTTAAAAAGGATTGAAAGAATCCAAACTTTTTCACAATACATGAAGAAACTTGGAGTTGGAATGTTATTGTTTGCATCTGTACACTATTGCAGGAGTGACATCTAGGCATCAGTAAGCAATCCGGTTTCCATGGTAAAAGATTTTGAGTAGGTGTCGCTCGTTTTTTTTTGTGTGTCAAAATCTTTCTGCATCCTGTATGGGTATGCCAAGAATTTCAGCAATATGTCCATACTCAGACAACATTTATTTCTACAATTTCTCATTTTTTGGCATTTGCTGTTCAGACATTATGTTGCAAACCACTTATATTATCAGTTCTGTGGCCCATTTTGTCAAACAGCAATATTAATTACCATCAATGCCTGATGCCAAGGCATTTTTAGGGCCTCAAATATTTTATCTAGATGCATTATATATTTTGAGGTACAGTTATTTCAATAATGTAGATTAAAAATAATTTTTGCAATATCATATAAATATATTTTACCCAAACTAAAAATATAAATAAAAAATCTGTTTCTTGAAGAAAAATCCAGGCTAAATGTTCAAAAGCAGAAGTGTATAATTTGTGAAATGGAATGATCCAATGATGCAAAACAAGTCCCATGAAAAAATGAATTTCACAAGCTCCCAAAGTGATGAGAAGTAATTTATGCATCTTATTGACAGCTTTTTAAAATAGGCATCACCTGATGATTCATGCAGTCCTTGCATTTCTATAAATTCCAACAAATTCAAAAGCCTGCTGGATTATCTCAGTACAGTACATGATGCTGTTTGTACATCATATGTCTACAAGAAAGCTGAATTTTCTTTAACAACAACAAAAAACTCATATACAATGAAATAACTTCCCTGTATATGAACCTCTCAATTGCTCCAAAGAATAATCCAATAATATCTTGAAAAATAAGCTCTTTAAAATACACACTTATATTCCACCCACCTTCAAGTGTCCATATACACAATATTCCTTTGAAATCAAAGTAAACTAAATATAGAAAGTGAAAGCCTGGTTTTCGTGACAAGGACGAAATATAAAAACCGGGACTGAGAATGCACCGATTCCGTCCCTGAGAACTGCGACTGACCTTTGACCTTTTTTTTCCCCATCCCCTCCCCTGGGGGGTCGTGGCTCTTTTGCTGTGTCC